ACGTTAGTCAAACATAAGTGGTTGAAGGCTCACGTTGCCAAACGCCTCTCGAGAAAGAGACATATAATGAAGAGTTTGCATTGTTGTTAATTCAAATTAATCCTACAAAGGCAGTGCAGGCAGAGAAGGAGACAGTGGGAGTCTCATGTGATCTGGTTTTTATATTTATTGATTGGTCATTTACTGGAAGCCAAGTGTTTGTTCAGTATAATTGTACAGCTAATAGCCTTGGCTAAGCCAAGCAAAAATTGTCAACTGTTCGCTTATGTATGGTACAGAGTGATTGCATGCACTGAGGGTGGGAGAGTCCTGTGATTTGCATTTTATTATTTGCGTTCTATATTGTGTTCGGTTGTTTGTAATATATTAAAGACTGGGATTCAGGATCTATCATTTCTAACCCAACAGCCACAGGCTACCTTGAATTCCTCCTGTTGTTATCACCATGATTAATAATTGCATTTACTGGACTGGTAACATATGATGTTTTATTCTGTTTTTAATCTGTTGGGAGGCACCCTGAGTGGGTGGGGAAATTGAGTCGGATGGGCGGGGTATAAATATATTAATAAACTTCTTCTTCTTCTTCTTCTTCTTCTTCTTCTTCTTCTTCTTCTTCTTCTTCTTCTTCTTCTTCTTCTTCTTCCCACCTTTTGGCACACATTATGATATAAAATACTATTTAAAAGATTTCTAAATAGTCAACAGGTAGGTTACTGTGTAAAATTAAACCAAATCAAATAAAGACCATCAGTAGTGATGTTTATATATATATGGTTGATTTGGTTTAATTAATACACACACACACACAAGGGACGCGGGTGGCGCTGTGGGTAAAACCTCAGTGCCTAGGACTTGCCGATCGCATGGTCGGTGGTTCGAATCCCCGCAGCGGGGTGCGCTCCCGTCGTTCGGTCCCAGCGCCTGCCAACCTAGCAGTTCGAAAGCACCTCCGGGTGCAAGTAAATAAATAGGGACCGCTTACCAGCGGGAAGGTAAACGGCGTTCCGTGTGCTGCGCTGACTCGCCAGATGCAGCTTGTCACGCTGGCCACGTGACCCGGAAGTGTCTGCGGACAGCGCTGGCTCCCGGCCTATAGAGTGAGATGAGCGCACAACCCTAGAGTCTGGCAAGATTGGTCCGTACGGGCAGGGGTACCTTTACCTTTACCTTTATACACACACACACACACAGTGGACACTCGGGTTGCAAACATGATCCACGCAGGATGCACGTTCGCCTGCAGCATTCACAACCTGCAGCGGCACGTCTGTGCACGTGTGGGTTGCGATTCGGCATTTCTGCGCATGCGCAAAGCGCGATTTAACGCTTCTGCACATGCGTGACCACCGAAACCTGGAAGTAATCCGTTCCAGTATTTCCAGGTTTTGGCGGGTCTGTAACCCGAAGAAACACAACCTGAAGCATCTGTAACCCGAGGTATGACTGTACTGTATATGACTGATAAATATACGTATATATTGATGATAAATTTATACTGTAAACTGCCCTGTGATCCTTAGATGAAGCTCAGCATATAAATTTAATAAATCAATAAATAACGGACCAAAATATGTACAAAATATTAAAATAAGGTATCACTCGAGATACCGTTCCCAGACTTAAACTTCCTGCTGCATGTAAAAGTTTTAGTATTCCAAAAGCTTTCTGATATTATAGTTCCAACATCCTGCAAAGTCAGATAAAGCTAAGGGCACGGCAAACTTTGGGTAGGAGCCGGCAGAGAACCTTATGCAAAAATACATTTGAGTAAATGACAATCTCAAACGCCAATAGAAGCAGGAAGGGCACTGTTCAAATAACTTAACATGAACTTGAGCTAAAGATCGCAGGGATGGTTCAGACATGAATGCTAAGCAGTGATTTTGCTTGTGCTCACTTGCTCTCCCCTCTCACCACCATGTGCAGCGATAGCCATGTCCTGATTTGAGGCAACCCACAAATTAACGCTTCATCTAAAGTCATCTAATCTTCCTTGCTGTATTATACTGTATTGTTTTAATTAGTGCTTTTATAGTTGTTTTGATTTTGTGTGGAGTGCCCTACCTGGGTGGATGGAGCAGCCAAGTAATTTCGTTGTCCCCGAGAGGGGGCAATGACAATAAAGATATTATTATTATTATTATTATTATTATTATTATTATTATTATTATTCATATAGCAAATTATTATTTGCAATTGCACTCCAAGTAGGACTGGAAAACCTAGAAGGGAAGAAGGAATCGAAAGGTTCCTTTGAAAGTCTAGAGATTCTGCCAAACCCAGTCATTCATTCATTCATTCATTCATTCAATTAATATCCCGCCCTTCATCCCAAATGAGCCCAAGGGCAGCAAAAACACATTAAATCATCTAAAAACAGTTCCAGTACATATGCAGACTGGGAAAGAGCTCTACTTAACAGTCTCGTGGGAAGAAGAAGGTCTTCAGTAGGCACCAAGAAGACAATGAGGGAATCCCAAGAAGTAGGTGCCACAACACAGAAGACCCACCCACTTCCTACATTGTGCTGAATGGACTACTGGGATCTTTGGCCCCCTATAAAATATTTGAGGGGGCAGGGACCCCAAAAGTTGATGGACATTGCCATTCAAATGGTGTGTGTCTGCCATGTCATGTGAACGATTATTTGGGGCAGGGCTTACTTGGCACCCCTGCCAAGCTGTATAGGGCTTCAACACCAAAACCAAGGATTTGGGTTATAACATTGAATTAGCAGTGTGGGAGAGACTATGGACAATAGACATGACTACAGACATTAAAATTGACAGCATGTTACATTTTGAAGGAGAATGATATGAAAATGATGTATCGTTGGTATTTATCTCCTAGTAAATTAGCTCAGATGTATAAATAAAAGTCCCAAACATGTTGGAAATGCAAAGAAAAAGAGGGTACTTTTTATCACATGTGGTGGTCGTGTGAGATGATAAAAGACTTCTGGGGAATGATATATAATGAATTGAATAAAAAATGCTGAAAATAACTTTTCCTAAGAAACCAGAAGCCTTTTTAAAGGTATTATAGGACCAGAGATACCAAAGGACTAGACAAAACAATTTATGTACGCGTCCATGGCTGTGCGGATTCTGTTAGCCCTGAAATGGCTAAATGACCTCTTCCAACCAAAGAAGAGTGGCAGACAAAACTGATGAGCTATGCCGAGATGGCAAAACTTGCAGGAAGAATTAGAAACCAGGAAGAGGAGGTCTTTAATAAAGAATGGGGAAACGTTATAATTTATTTGAAAAGCTATTGTAAACAATTGCATACATTGGTAGGACTGACCGAAAACTTGTAGTAAAAATTTGAACTATGGATTGACAAAGGATTGACAAGAATATGAAAGAGATGTAGAGGGGGAAATCATTCAGTTAAGATCCACAATGGGCACGGGAGGGAAGTCAAGGGGGATTATATGTCTATGTCTTTAATTTGTGTGTTTATGTAAAATAGAAAATGCAAAAATAAAATTTATAATAAACACCAAACCCAGCACCTTGAACCGTCAGCCAGTTCAGTTCCTCCAGCAGTGACATAACATGGTGGCAATATCCTTCCCTAGAGATCAGTCAAACCTTGCCATCTTGAACTTGCTACAGCTTTTGGGCCAACCTCAAGGGCAGCTCTGCAAGGAGTATACTGCAGTAATCCAACCTGGCCATTATCAGTGCATGGATTACAGTGACCACAAACTGCCATAGCTGTCCCAACAACCTAAGCTGGTAGAAGGTAAAAGGTAAGATAAAGGACCCCTGGACGGTTAAGTCCAGTCAAAGGCAACTATGAGGTTGTGGTGCTCATCTTGATTTCAAGCCGAGGGAGCTGTTGTTTGTCCACAGACAGCTTTCCGGGTCATGTGGCCAGCAGGACTAAACTGCTTCTGGCACAATGGGACACTGTGATGGAAGCCAGAGCACATGGAAATGCCGTTTACCTTCCTGCCACAGTGGTACCTATTAATCTACTTGCACTGGCGTGCTTTTGAACTGCAAGGTTGGCAGGAGCTGGGACAGATCAATGGGAGCTAATCCTGTCACAGGGATTTGAACCACCAGTCTTCTTATTGGGAAGCCCAAAAGTCTCAGTGGTTTAGACCACAGGGCCACCCACTTCCTGAATAAACAAGCACACAATCACTGATAGGTCCACTCACCATTGTGAGGCTCAAAGCATTGAAGATGATGCCTCCCCAGCTGTTGCCATTGGCTGTGGGTTTCTTGTGATGTCACAAAAGCACTTGGCAACTGAGTGGATATAAAGGCAGGGCAGGGGGAAAGCCCTTTTCTGTTTCCAACAGGACACAGCTGGAAATGGATGTGACATTCAGCACTGCCCAGGTTTCTTCCACTTGGAGGAGGCAAAGTGGTGAATAGAAGGAGGCAATCCTCTGGCAGTGGGATGTTAGGGAGCGTTAATAATGCAAGTTTGGTTGCTTGAAGGCTGCTGGTAGCTGTGGTTGGAAGCTGGTGGATGTCTGATGATGGGCCTAAGAGAAGCTGGCAGATGTTGGTGGATGGAAGCCAGTGGCTAAAGCAGACTGATGTTTGTGGATGTCGGCTGATGGAAGTTCACCTTTGAAAGACAGTCAACAGAAGCCAGTGGATCTTTGTGGATGGAGGCCAGGGCATGAACGTGAATGGATGTCATGTTTTTGGATGTCGGCTGGTATATGTTTGTGTGAGTAAATGGGGGGGGGGGTTCAAATGTGGGTGAGGCAGAATGGTGTTTGCATGTGCACAAATGTGATGTGTGAAAGGTAGATATTCATAAATAGATGGAGCCCTTGGGAGGGGGGATATTGGTTTCATGGAATCAGAGAATCGGGGAATCAAGTTTGGGAGGGACCATGAGGGTCATCTAGCCCAACCCCTTACAATGCAGGAATCTTTTTGCCAAATGTGGGGCTCATACCCACTGGCATGCTTTTGATCTGCTAGGTTGGCAGGAGCTGGGACCGAGCAACAGGAGCTCACCCCATCACAGGGATTTGAACCGCTGACCTTCTGATCAGCAAGCCCAAGAGGCTCAGTGGTTTAGACCACAGTGCCACCCGCGTCTCACTTTGACTAGAGATATCACCTCATTGACAAGAGGAACCCATCCCAGTTCTACCATAGAGAATTACGGTATATACTAAACAAGACCCTACAGCTGAAAGAAAGATTTTGTAATGGAAAGCAGCTGGCATGTTTGAAACAAGAGGAAGGGACTCGTTTTGGGGAGGTTTCAAATGTATTTCTGAGAGACTCCCTAGAAAGCACAGGCTCCAGTTGAGCCACAATCTTGTTTTGCAAAGTCAAGTTGAGCTTGGAAGGATGGAAATCCCATGGATTTCCTTTTAACAGGGAATGCTGACGTCGCAGCACCTCTTCCAAATTATGGACGTAAATTAACCTTGCATTAAATAACCGCAGAGCTTTTGGGGAAGCGGGGCTGTGAACGTGCACCCGGGCCTTAGAAGCCAACCAACATGTCTCTTTTCCTGAGCCCTTTGAGCTTTTGTTCAAAGTTTGAAGGCTGCTCGCTGACAAGTGATTTGTTTCCATTAGAACATGCCTCCTTCCAGCCGTCCGTGACCATCTTGTACTTAGGGCTTTATAAGCAGCACGTCTCAACATTCCTAAAATCCCAGGGAGGATCTGAAAATAGAAAAAGAAATGAGGATTTAAATTAAAAGCAACGGCCCTTAAATAGAGCTGCCATGTTTTGAGGCAAGATAGTGTCTCTTTCCCCCTCCTTCTCGCTTCCCTCCCCCCTCCCACGGGGTCGCAAGTTGCTTTTTCCAGAATACAGTGCAAAGCCACCGAGATTTGCATTCCCTCTTCTATTTATAGGAGCCTCTTTTAAAACGAAACAGGTGTCAAGTTGAATGAGACTGAAGCAGGCTTACATGTCCTATATGGCTGGAAAAGCAAGAGCCGGCGTGTGTGAGAGAGGAAACAGGGCGACTTGGGTGATTGGCAGATCGGTTGCTGAATGGAGCGAGCAGCCGAATGGGGGAGAGGAAAAGCTGAGCTGTTTCTCTGCAGGGCTTCGGCCATCTTTAATTCAATCGATTTAGAAGAATTTAATGACAGGGGAAGGGACCAGCTGGCTTTCCCTGCAGAATTAAATCCTCCAAAGATTGAGAGAGAGAAAGTGAGAGTTAACTGTGCAATGCAAATCCCCTTTGGGTGGAGAGTGGCATTGGGCAGAGGGGCAGCCTTGGCAACCTCCGCCAGCTTGCTCCATTGCCAGCAGAGTGATATCAGTGCCAATCCACCGGCACAGAGCTCCCCCGTCCACTCACTGAACAGGCAGACAGGAGTGGTGATGTCTGGGACCCTGCCAGTGGGAACCATTGGAAAGCCCTGGAATGGGGCATTCAATGGGCCGGTGGGAAGGCCAAGGGTCCAGATAATGGGTCGATTATTTGCTTTGGATAGGGTCATGCTTCCCCTGAAACAGTTGGTAGTCTGGGGGTGCTCCTGGGTGCATCTACCTCAGTGGCTAGGAGTGTCTTTTACCATAGTCGCCTTTGACTGGACTTAACTGTCCAGGGGTCCTTTCCCTTTTCCTTTCGCTATCTCTAGTCTAAGGGAGAAGGCAGTTCCATCAGTAAGAGAGTCTGATGTCCAGAACTTCAGATAGATTTTGGCCACAGTCATCATTTATTTATTGCAATAGGGAGATTAGCAATTGTCATTTTAGCACTGTTTTGGATTCACTTCTTACTTCTAATGGATGCTCTTCAATATCTTCCTAACTTCAGTGACAGAGCTGATTCAGTGATACCTCAGGTTACATATGCTTCAGGTTACATACGCTTCAGGTTACACACTCTGCTAACCCAGAAATAGTGCTTCAGGTTAAGAACTTTGCTTCAGGAAAAGAACAGAAATTGGGCATCCGGCGGCGCGGCGGCAGCAGGAGGCCCCATTAGCTAAAGTGGTGCTTCAGGTTAAGAACAGTTTCAGGTTAAGAACAGACCTCTGGAACGAATTAAGTACTTAACCCGAGGTACCACTGTATTGTAAACGCCGTTCAGGAGCCCCCTGGGAGAGGCTACTGCCAAGTAGAAGTGGCAGGTGAGTGTGGGCCCAGGTTTTGAGGTTGGGTCTAGGTCACATGACTGAGCAGAAGAGGGTTTGTTGTGTCCCGCCCCCAGCTCTCTGCCACAACGTCCCTTTGGGGGACTTATACTGGTGCAAGTTGCACAGGTTTCAGCTGCCCCAGATATGCTGCAGTGAGGGACTTCAGGCCAATGTAGATAGGAAAGCCCAAGGTTGGCCAAATCGAAACTCTCTAATCCTGCTGGATCTTAGGTTTGGATTGTGCTGTAAGTTAGTCTTGTTGCCTCTGTTTTAAATGAACACAGTGAGATTTTTAACAGTGAAACTAGGATGTGGCTTGATTTTGGATGAAATTATTATTATTATTATTATTATTATTATTATTATTATTATTTCATCATCATCATCATCATCATCATCATCATCATCATCATCATTACTTTATGCCTCTATGTGTATGGCTTTTCCGCACATACCCTTTAGTCTGTCCCAACAGATTTTCCTTCCTACTAGACAGAAGTACTGTTTTTGGGGGACAGGAGGTGGGCAGGTGTGGAGGACTCCCGGGTCCTGAATGGGGTAACTGTGCCCCTGAAGGACCAGGTGTGCAGCCTGGGAGTCATTTTGGACTCGCAGCTGTCCATGGAGGCGCAGGTCAACTCTGTGTCCAGGGCAGCTGTATACCAGCTCCATCTGGTACGCGGGATGAGACCCTATCTGCCCGCGGACTGTCTCGCCAGAGTGGTGCATGCTCTGGTTATTTCTCGCTTGGACTACTGCAATGCGCTCTACGTGGGGCTACCTTTGTAGGTAACCTGGAAACTACAACTAATCCAGAATGCGGCAACTAGACTGGTGACTGGGAGCGGCCGCTGAGACCATATAACACTGGTCCTGAAAGACCTACATTGGCTCCCAGTACGTTTCCAAGCACAATTCAAAGTGTTGGTGCTGATCTTTAAAGCCCTAAGCAGCCTCGGTCCAGTATATCTGAAGGAGCGTTTCCACCCCCATTGTTCAGCCCGGACACTGAGATCCAGCTCCAACGGCCTTCTGCCGGTTCCCTCATTGCAAGAAGTGAAGTTACAGGGAACCAGGCAGAGGGCCTTCTTGGTAGTGGCACCCACCCTGTGGAACACCCTCCCATCAGATGTCAAGGAGATCTGAAGGAGAAGACATCTGAAGGTATAAGAAGGTTTTTAATGTTTAATGTTTTATTATGTTTTTGTGTATGCTGGACGCCACCCAGAGTGGCTGGGGCAACCCAATCAGATGGGTGGGGTATACATAATAAAATTGTTCTTATTGTTCACCCAGTGCCCTGCAGGTTGCTTATGGAACGGGGAAGGCCAAAATTGATGCTCTTTTTACAGAAAATGTGGGAAGAGAAGCACTCTGCTTTGTAAGTGGTGTCTACCATGTTGAAAGTACACCAATAAAAGAATGAAAATGGTTTATTGAATATTTACATATAAATTATAAACAGATAAAAACATTGGCAGGAATATTGTGATAACCTGCAGTTTCATAAGCGTGTATGTTTAAAGAAGATGAATAAATGAGTAAATTAAGTTAATTTGGATATGCGGAAGATATTAAAAGCAAATTTAAGGAATCGCAGAAAGAGGGGGAATGGAGTAAATTTTGAAATGTTAAAATGAAGTGCCTCCAATTGCCTATATTGGTCCCTCTGGCAAAGACTGGCCGGCGACTGCTTGCCAACCACGTATGCTTGATAAATTGGAGCCCTGCCATAATGTCTCTGAAGTTTCACCAGCTTCCATCTGCAGTAATCATATGGGCATCATGACCACAGTTGCGCATTTGATCCTGTGATATATCTGACCACTGTTCCTTAAATCCTTTTTAGAGGTGGCAGCCTGGCTGTGGAAAAGATGTCAGGCAGATGAATCTGAGTTACCCAGTATTGCTCGCTGCCAAAGAGTCTCAGGTTGCAGCCGTTCCTCCTCGAGGCTGCAATCATGCGCCCATCAGCCAAAAGGAAAGACTATAGTGAGCAAATCAGAAGGAAGCAGCATGGGTTATTTGGAAGTCTGTCCAGAATGCCAGTTTGGGCTGTTCTGGCTGTCCCCAAGTACCCCAAGCTGTGTGCAAACTTAGAGTTGCTGGCTGTCATCCTCTTTCTCATGCAATTGTATACAATTCCAGGATGATCAGGTGCCCGTGGAATACTTTCCGGTAGTTTTTATTGTGATACCCCTCAACCTCCCACTTGTCCATTGGGTCTCTTTCTTTGAAATTCATTCCCATTGCTTCCTATCCCTCTAGCTTTCAGTTGACACTTCTGTTTATTTGTCAGGGCATTTACCATATTTTTCACTCTATAGGACGCACCAGACCATAGGACGCACCTTGTTTTAGAGGGAGAGAACAAGGGGGGGAAATTCTCTCTGCTCAGTGCCCCTTCAGCGAAGCGGCAGGAGAAACGGAGCCCCTTCCAAGACTCTCCCGGCTTCAGCAAAAGGAACCTGAAGCCTCCGGAGCACAGCGGGAACTTGCGCTGCACTCCAAAGGCTTCAGGCGGCTATCCCTGAAGCCTGGAGAGCGAGAGGGGTTGGTGTGCACCACCCCTCTCGCTCTCCAGGCTTCAGCGAAAGCAATGCAAAGCCTCCGTAGTGCGGAGGAAGCACTCCCTCTGCGCTTTGGAGGCTTCATGTTGCTATTGCTGAAGCCAAGAAGCCTGCATTCACTCCATAGGACGCACACACATTTCCCCTTAATTTTTGGAGGGGGAAAAGTGCGTCCTATAGAGTGAAAAATACGGTATTTATTTATTTTGAAGAAGAGGTTCCAGAACTTGTTGGCTTTTTTTTAGGGGGACCAACCAACCAAACTTTGTTGAGCATGCAGTCAAGGTTGTTGAGCTATTTTTTTTTTGGGGGGGGGGAGATTGCCCCTAAGTAATCTTCTCTTCTTCACCCACTCAGCCTACCAACGGTTTTGGCACCTTACGATGGCTCCCTCTGCTGCACCACACCAATCGCTGTGCTGCTGTGCCGCAATACTACAGAGGTGCTGGAATGCAGCAAAGAGGTGCCGGAACGCAGTTCTGGTGAGTTCCACCTGAAAAAGCCCTGCCTGCACTCACCTTGAAGGTGCAGCATTTTAGACCAGGTCCTCAAGGTGGTTTTGAGTACCACCTTTGCTTCTAGCAGAATGTTCTCCTCATCAGTGGTGTAGCATGGGTTGCCAGTACCCGGGGCCGCATGGTGAGAAGGAAATGGATGGAGTACGCATGCGCATTCAACTGCCTAATGACATCCATGTCACCCAAGAGATCGAAACTGCAGAGATAAGAAAAGAAGAGTCATTCTGTTGTCTGCAGATGTCACTTCCTGGTTCGCATGGAGAAGCCGTTTTTAATAGAGCCCAGTGTCGGAAGCACACAGCAGTATTGAGGCAGCACCGGATGTTGAAATTTTGCACCCCTAACAAATTTGCACCTGGGGAAACTGCCCCTTTTGCCCCCTCCCGCGTGCTATATTACTGCTCCTCATGATGGGAAGCTGTTCCAGCTGCTTGGTTGCCGCTTTGCTTAATGACTCTTTCCAAAATTCAGGATTCATGCTGGTCAGTTGACACGATGCCCAAGGGTAAAAAAAGAAATCCATTTGTAATCAGAAAGCTCTCTTGGGGAGGACTGCACAATAATGTAAGTGAGTTAACAAAGAGCTGGTTTGCAAGCACTGAAGGAGGGATTGATTGAGGCTGGAAGAACATGGCTCAATTGATAGAAAAGCATTACCAAAATCATTTTGTTGGGTCTCTTTACCACTTCCACCCAAAATAATATGTCAAAGGTAGCCTAGGGGAATGGCATAGGTTTCAAAGAAATAGCTTCACTGCAGAGTTCTCTTTCTGGATGCTTTTCATTCGCCAAGTCTCATCTTGCATATTGACAGCACGTCGTCTCGTTAAAGACTCATTGCAGAGCATTCCAGAGGCATATTACCTTACCCACTGGAAACTTGGACCAGTGAGTCTATCATGCCTTACAGTATTGACAGGGTTGCCTGGGTCACTTCTGCCTTCTATGCTGGCCAAAAGAACGTGGAAGGTTGGTTCTTGCAAACTGTGAGTGCTTTGCTGGGTGGACGTTTTGAATACCAAGGTTTATTCAACTTACGAATTGCTTCCCGAAAGTCCTGGTGCAGTTTGCAACGAGGATAAAAGGCAGTAATGAAAAGACATAACCATATTAAAGACATCATCAGAGTATACACACACACACACACACACACACACACACACACACGACATTTAATCACTGATGCAGCCAAAATGTCAGGGAAAGCAAAAACTTATTTGCTTGGCACCAAAATAATGACAAAATTATGCCTGATGGGTCTCCATGGGGAGCAACTGCAGAAAAGGCCTGTTCTCTCATCACCACCCTCCGGACCGTCCTCAGAGGTGGCACACAGAGAAGTGCCTAAGATGATGATCTCATAGTCCACACTGGATCATAAGCTTGGGTACTACCACAAAAGGCCTTTTCTTCAGCCACCACTCACAAGGTAGAAGGTGGGGCTCTCAAAAGATCTCGATTGATAGGCTCAGGTGGAAGTAGACACTCATTTCAATACCTGGGCCAGGCCATCTACAAATCTGAAGGCAAAACCTGGCATCTGGAATTGAACCTGGAAAGAAATTGGCAGCCGGTGAAGCGCTTTCCATTCTGGTATGACATTTTCTCAGTGGTCAACCACAGTCAATCTGTCCACCACATTTTGGACCAGTTAAGGGTACGGTTCACAAATGCTCTTCTGGGTCAATCCCATTGTAAAGGGAATTGGGGGTTGCTTGTGCGTAAGGGGGTTGCTGCTCTAGGCAACGTTGTCTGGCTAAACCTTTCCCTGGCTGGACAGCCCTTTCTCTGTGGCTGTGTCAGTCACTGGCAGAATCCGTCAGTGGGTGTTTCCTGAACTTCTTCCAACATAAAAGCTCTTTGACGCCAAGTCTCCTCCTAGCCTCCCTGCGCGGAAGTCTTCTGCGCAGAGTGGGCGTGGCCAGCGGAGGTCCTGGGCTCTCTCCGCTGGTCTCTGTGGAAGAGTCTTGGAGCCATCTCTCCGAAGTCCTTCCCTGCTCCCCTTTCTTCCTGGTGTCATGCCGATTTCCTTCCCCAAAGGAAGTGTTCTCTCTCTCCCTGCTGGTCCCTTCTCCTGCCTCGTCAGGGAGCCTTACCTCCACTCTTGGCTCCGATGGCAGTTCCCTGACACCCATGTACTGTAGAGCAGCCAAAATTCATGAAAGTCACTGCAAACCGTCAAACCACCTGAATGCCCAGTGCTGGACTTAGCGACATCCTCAAGCTGTGATCTGGGTCAAAAGGGTGAGACTCTGTCCAGAGCCAGGCTTCCTAGTGTTCCTCTCTTGCTCCCAATAGCATAGAGCCCTTCTTCATCTTAAGCATTGTGAAGTTTCTTTGGTTTCACCATCTATTTTTGTTTCTTGAAGTCTCTTTCTTCATCTCTCCATTGTTTGGTCCTCTTTCTTAGCATGTTACCTACTATGTATTCTTCCTTCAGCATCCTCGCTGCCGGCTTGCTGTCTCCTGAGAGCCAGCGTGGTGTAGTGGTTAAGAACGGTGGACTCGTAATCTGGTGAACCGGGTTCGCTTCCCCGCTCCTCCACATACAGCTGCTGGGTGACCTTGGGCCAGTCACACTTCTCTGAAGTCTCTCAGCCTCACTCACCTCACAGAGTGTTTGTTGTGGGCGAGGAAGGGAAAGGAGATTGTTAGCTGCTTTGAGACTCCTTTGAGTAGTGATAAAGCGGGATATCAAATCCAGGTTCTTCTTCTCCTTCTCCTTCTTCTTCTTCCTTCTTCTCTCCCCCCCCCCAAGTTTCCCTACATCCCGGGACAAATGCCCATAGGACGTCCCTATTTTCATTGGAGAAATGTCGAAAGGTATGTAGCCATCATCTGGGTGAAGTTTAAATCCTAGCCAAACAGATGAATTTCCCTCCCCTCATAGAAGGTGGGCTGTACATTGTCTTGCTCCCTGAGCAGCTGTACCTTCCGAGTTACCCATGAGTTCAGACTAGTCAGCATCAAAAGCTTTTTGGTCATGTGTGCAATGAAACAGAGATTATTTCACCCATTCTGAGTCCATATAGCATCAAGTCTGGGATCAGGCTGGTCTAGTTTAGGGAAGCTTTTAATGTTTGATGTATTACAGTATTTTAATATTTGTTTGGAAGCCACCCAGAGTGGATGGGGTATAAATAATAAATTATTATTATTAATTAATTTTTTATTATTATTATTATTATTATTATTATTATTATTATTATTATTATTATGTTTAGCCTCCAGATAACCTCATCTTTCATTTTGGTAAAGATATATTTTGTAGGTTGCATGAATTTTGCTGGCACTGTTTTTGGTTTAGACTCAAAAACCCAACATAGCCTGGGTCAAGACGTTCAAAGTCCAAAGGATGAGGTTGCTGTATACAGTTCCCTTTCTCCTTCTGGTTTTTATTGTCAGTTGGTTGAATAAATATTCTCAATTGTTTCTCCAGAATGACAAAATTTCAATTCTTTGTTTTGAAACCAGAATCTGTTGTGGATTTTAAAATGCTGAGTATATTTAGCCCTGGCTGAAGTGTTAACCCACAGATGCAAACAATAAATTCCAAGATTCACCCAGCATAAGAAAGAATACATAGCAAAAAATATTAAAAAAAAAATATAAATCCTCTTATGTGGTCTATAAGTATACCTGGTTTGCTTTGGGGGCTCAGTTCTTCCAGTATGGTGAACAGTCTTGTTATGAAAGTTGTGATCTCTGCAGAGGGTGGGATGGGGAGAGCCTCTCAAATGTCCTTAGAAAACATTGTGGACTATTTAATATCTGGCTTGGTAAGCACAGTAGTTATGAAACAGCTTTTTAGAATAATTTTGGAACTCTGCCTCTGTTTCTGTTTATTTTAAGGCTTATTTGCAAGGGATAGAGTGACCGTGTCCTAAAGTATACTCCAAGCGAACCCTCTCAACCTGACAAATTAATACCCTACCAATAAGGTCATTCCTTGAAGCGAAGACCCAATGTTAACGATGCCCACAACCGTTGCCAGCGTTTTCATCATCCTAATAAATTTACTCTCAATTTCAGGAGGTGAGATCAGGACATGGTGGACCAAAGAGGCAAGAGGGGTTCACAGGGGTCGGTCTGCCCTCGCTGCCATATATTTAGGAGACCCCAGGCAGGTCTCCAGTACTTAGCTCACAGTTCTCAAATGTCAATAGAATGAAGGATCTCTGGGCTACTTTGCTCCCTGCCTCTGGAAACTTCTAGGTAACAATGTTCCACATTTGTGTTTTAACACTTTGTAAAAATGTATTGCCAGGTTTGTTTACACATTTATAATGTGTATCATTTGCTTGTTTTGGCTTCACGAAATTAAGACCATTTGCATGAACAGGGCAACACATTTGTTCTGCAATACAAAATTGTTAAGCTCAATAGCCTTAAGAATAGTGGCTGCTAAAATAATTGAAATAAGCTTCAGAAACCTGGGTTTCCTGACACAATTACCGGTAAATATTCTCTTGTTTTGTTGTTGTGAACCTTTTGAAATACATACCCTCACATTTTTCAAACTTGCAAAAGCTTGAAACAACTACATTCAAGATGGAGGAGGAGGGAACAGCTGCAGTCGCCTGCGGTTCCTGCGCAATGTTTGCCATCTTGCCAAAGATTGCAGGCAGCTTTACCTGCAGCAATTGCATGTTGATTGCTCTCTTAAAAGACAAAGTCCAGCAACTGGAGGAACGTGTAGCTACGCTCCAAAGAATTAGAGAGCTGGAGCTCTTCTTGGAAGCAACAGAGCACACCGTCTCCACCAAGGAGGAGACAGGGGACTCCCTGTGAAGGAGGCTAGTT